GTTTTGTTCCACATTGTTCTCCCTCTTTGTCCAGGATCTCCTACAGAGATCCCCCTCCGAGCTGGCTGTGGCCATGAAGTGACATGACCTTGTCCTTTGTCAGCTCAACTATATACCTGGGTATTCTTACAGAACATACCAATACACTTGTGGAAACATTGTCTGCCAGTGCTATATGTGGTCATGGGCACACTTCCCCCTGCATAGACATACCTAATACTTCAGCCTCTCCACCCATCTATCACCCATATATCCATGTTTGCCTTCACTAACAACACAGTACTGTACGTGCAAAAGGGTTCATCTTTGTTGTCTGTGCCTCCCATGCACTCTCTCTGTCTTTCTCTTCCTCAGTGCCAATGTGTTGATCACTCACATTTGGTACATTGCCCTTCACTTCACCCAAATCAATACTTGTCTCTACCTATCTACCAGTGTTCCCTCCCCTCCCCTCCCCTCCCATCCCTGGTAACCATCAAAGAAAATTTCCTTCCATATGTAAACCTTTCCTTGACTTTTTACAATAACGAACTAATACAATATTTGTCCTTCTGAAATTGACTTATTTCACTCAGCATAATGTCCTCCAAGTTTATCCACATTATGCAGAGTTTTGCAGATTCTTTGTTATTCTTTAGGGTTGCATACTATTCCATTGTGTGTATGTACCATAGTTTGGTTATCCATTCTTCTGTTGATGAGCACCTAGGTTGTTTCCATCTTTTGGCTATTGTAAATAGTGCTGCAGTGACCAAAGGTGTACATGAATCTGTTCTTCTCTTGGTTCTCACTTCTTTAGGATTTTTACCTCGTAAGGGAATTGCTGGGTCAAATGGTATTTCTAATTCCAACTTTATAAGGAATCACCATACTGCTTTCCACAGTGGGTGTATCATTTTACAGTCCCACAAGCAGTGTATGAGAGTCCCAATCTCTCCACATCTTTGCCAGCATTTGTCACTTTCTGTCTTATTGAACTTTGCTACTAGTGCTGGAAAAAGATGGTATCTCATTGTTGTTTTAATTTGCATCTCTCCAATGACTAATGATCATGAGCATTTCTTCATATGTTTGTTGCCTGCTTGAATATCCTCTTTGGTAAAGTGTCTATTCATGTCTTCTGCCCCTTTTTTTAATTGGATTATTTGTCTTTTTGCTATTTAGGTCTTGGAGTTCTATAAATTCTAGAGATAAGTCCCTTGTCAAATATGTCATTGCCAAAAATTTTTCCCCTTCTATAGGTTCTCTTCTGACCATTTTGGAGAAGTCTTTGGAAGCACATAAAAATTTAATTTTTGGAAGGTCCCATTCATCTAGTTTCTCTTCTGCTGTTTGTGCATTTTGGGTTATGCTT